CTTTAAATGTTTACCCCGAAAATGGCCTCCGTGAGATCCCGAACTCATCTAAATGCTAAAACTAGGCACCATTTAAACATTGTTTTTAATAACATGGTGGCGGAGCTCCGCCTATGCGCACACCGCCAACGCTAAAAAAAAAAGGCGGGCGAAAAGCGGAAGCCTCAGGCAGCTTTCGAGCAGGGAGGGGGTTTAAACTGGAAGTGGCTTGTTTCACTGCTGACTTTCCTGATACCGGAGAAAGTCCGTGTTTTGTGGAAGCGATTGTTATCACCGCGCATTTCCAGATGCCTGATCACTCGCCGTGGGTTCACTTATGGTGCCATTTTTAAAAAGCAGTTAGCGATATGTGCATAGGCACTTGTGCGCATAGGCGCACAAATGCATTCACCCATCACATCAGTGCGCGAACATGGAAGTCAACGAATAAACACTTATGCGCATGTGCAAGTGAGGATCTTTTTTAAAAACAACAACAACAACCTCACACGCCGGTGAGTGTCTAGAGGGCAGACCATGGAGTGAGCACTGGGTCACTGCGGAATAAATAAACCCGGGTAATATTTGAAGCGTGTCAACAGCGCTATAATCACGCCATCTGACCCACCACCTTAGTCCAACATTCTACCGGCTCCCCCACACAGAGTGAGATAAGAGGTCAGCGCTGGAGGTAGGGAGTTACATCATAGCCAAGCGTGGGGTAGGAATTTATTTGAGTGGGGGACACAGGAGCCACTCAGAATCAAGGGGTACTCAGAGCGGAGGATGATGGAGCCCCCGGGAAACGAGAGAGGGGCACGGTTCCAATATGGGCCGGAGGGGGGAGTAAATCAACACAACCCAGATTACTTTGCAGATGACATTATCCTTCAGTTACACAGATGCGTTTCCCCCCCACACACACGCACATGCATTGTCCCCCCAGCCCACGCGCGCACCACCTCCAAAAGCCTGGAATGTGTCACCTCTTCCTAGCTAACAGTTGTCTTCTTCTTTGGGTATCCACTTTACAGGGACTAAGTGGACATGATGTTCAAGGAACAAAGCCAGATTTAATCCCGCCTCTGTGTCTTGCTTTTCCTCTCTGCCTGATGGAGGAGACAAGGCCACCGCCAAACTGCAGAGAATTGTGCCCCCGCCCTCTGTACCCACCCCCCAAGCTATTCCCTGCTTCTCTTTGTCTCGATATAGAAAAGCCCAGGGATTCCAGAAGCCCGGCCAAGGCTGGGAGTTGTCAACAGCAGCTGGGTGTGAAGCGAGATATTTTCCAGTGCCAAGAGGACGCGGCACGCTCAGATAGCCGACCAAGGAACCCCTCCTCTCCGCATCAGCTAGGGTTGCCAACTCTGGGTCGGGAAATTCCTGGAGATTGGGGGGGGGGCCCAGTTTAGTGGGTTATAACGCCACGTAGACCCCCTTCCAAAGCAGCCATTTTCTCCAAGGGGACTTTTCTATATCCCTGGGCTTTTCTATATCGAGACAAAGAGAAGCAGGGAATAGCTTGGGGGGTGGGTACAGAGGGCGGGGGCACAATTCTCTGCAGTTTGGGGAGATCTCCCAGCCCCACCTGGATGTTGGCAAACCTAACATCAACCCCCCCAAAACCTCCCATTTGGCTAGCAAAATTTCTGTCCAAAGAACCTCCCAATTTCTCATCCACATGCAAGTCCAGCTGCTACTTTTAGAAGAAGAAGAGGAGGAGGAGGAGGAGATTGGATTTATACCCCGCCCTT